ACATATTTTTAATGGTATGTAGAGTTGGCTAATTGAATTAGACCTCTCTCTGTGTCCTTGTGTGGTGGTGTTTGTGTTCCCAGGATTGTTTTGTTTGCCCATGATTGTTTGAACGTAGCCAACTGAATATTTTCTCTCTCCTCTCTCTCTTTCTCTCTCTCTCTCTTCTCTCCCCTAGACTATGGCGCCCTTGGGGCTTTCTATTTACTTGTCTCGAGAATTCAATGGGATTTTCCTATGAGGTCGAGTCATTTTTGAAGGTCTATCTCTCTCTGTGTGTGTGCGCGTGCGTGCGTGCCCGTAAAAATTTATTTTAGGTGTTGACAAAAGATTCTTCCTCTTTCAAGGTTAGATATGGATTAGGTGTGGAGGATTCCTCCTCTTTCAAGGTAAGATATGAAGTTTTTTCTAAAGGTATGCATAGGCTTTTGAAATTTCTTTGAAGGAAAGAAATAGGCTGTTGACTTCTTCAGCAGTTAATATAAAAATTATATCCAAAAAAATAGCTTAACTGGGAAACTATCAATCACATATCAAGATAATATAGGTGGTGTAACATGTAAATTGTATCCGATCCCAGTGTGGAGTATTACTTCCAAATTCTTTAACAAAATGCAATCCACGTATGGGTTATTAATCTCAAAAAATCCCCATTTTTTTTCATTTTTTTAATATAACAGGATATCACTGAATTTAAAGTTTTAAACCAAACTCACAACAATTGCAAAATATCTGGCTCAAACACTTGTGAAGGAAGATAGCAGTGTTTTACTGTTTTGTTAGGTGACGATACCGCAATTTGCACGGGTAACAATGCAGTGATCAAAACAAAACAAACCCACAAGGAGTTGTCCCATCCCATGGATGTTTTACGAGCGGCTTGTAGATTTCAAAAGATTGAAACAGTCAAAGTTGGCATCAATTATTTGAGAAGTCATGACAACAATTTGTAAAATTTAAGCAAGACAAGTCTCATCACAGTATGGTTTCCTTACTATTCTTAATTCAAATAACTGATCAAATTAATTATCCATCAATGTCTACCACCAAAGGTATCGATAATAAATTATTAACAACAAACACTCAGAAATTTATTCAGATGTTGCCCCATAAAAAGGCACTCATCAGTCCAAAGGCCAAACTCAAAATACAGCTTAATATTATAAGTGTCTCAAAACTCCAAACAGAATACAATAACAGCAATAATTATTTAGCCACACACATGTAGAGTAAAAGCTCAAGCTTCCTCATGGCCAATCAAGGCCAAGAGCATCTTCTCATAGTCGCCCCTCGTGTCCTTAGCAATAGCCCTATCAAGTGGCACACTGTTCCTCCTCTGATACTCTTCTTTAATGTTTTTCATGTCCACCTCAGCTCTTGTGGCCACAACTCTAGTGAGGGCCCCTTCATCTGTACCTAATTTGTTGATCGATAGTCGAATCACTTTTTCAAAGTACTTCTCGGGATAGGCCAAACACTTGACAGTGGCTCTCAATAAAGATAGGAATTCGTCTTTCGTGTCGCTTTTCAGATCCTACAATTTTTCAAATGCAATATTAAAGAAGATAATAATGTAGTGTTAGTACAAATATGAAAAATAGATTATTTGAGAAAAGTTAGCATAGCATGCCTTGTTTATATCATTGCTAAACAAATTCTTGTATTGGTTAAGTGTTGCATTGATTTGTGCTTTGCTCCTCGTGGTCAAGATTCTGATGACATCATCACAGCTGTAAGCCTTCTCCGAGATTTTCTCGTGAAGGATTTTAGCTTCGGTTTTCGCGAGGCTCAGGTTCACGTCCTCCCCACCATAGCGGTATGAGCTTACTAAGGGGACCAAAAGCTGTACAAGACAAAAATAAGACATCATCTTTAGTCAATGAATTTACAATAATCGAATTATTAAAAAAATATCCTTGATGTTCTATTCTAATCACTAGAAAAAGAAACATACGTGATCTATGTTACAACTTTCAAAGATGGTGATTGAATTTTCTCACAATTACGTTAAACTATACATTTATATGATTGGGTTACAGTTCTTAAAGGATCAAGGAATGCCAGAATTCTTTACTGTAATCCACGTATAATTCTATTCAAGCATTTCCTCACAAGCCCTACGAAAATCCGAATATCCAAATTTAATTTCACACAAATAGGTTACTGGCATTCGTAATAACTTTTCTGAAGAAGAAAAGTCCTAATGGTTAGAAGAATGATCAAAGTAAGCACAAATTATTTACAAAAATAGAATATAAAAAGGAATGAAATAGAAAAATCTCGTTTAACCTTGCGGAAATCTCCGGAAGTGTGATACGCAACATCCTCCTCAATCGACCTTTTGAAACGAACATGATAAGCTTCCCTGGCAAGAAGCAGCTCCTTAGGAGACCTCGTACAAGCAATCTCGACAAGAACTTGATTGCTCGAAGTCCACTTTTTAAGAGCCTCGTTCGCCAAGTGGGCATCACGCTCGGGAGGGTCCAACGTCCACAGCAACACAACCCTCTGAATTTAGTCAAGAATTAGATTTTCATGTGAAATTTGGTTTCAAACTCAATTTACATTTTGATATCTAGCAAATATATACTCCAACAACGGTATACAAGGTATGAGAAGACAGGAATTGAACCTCAAAATCGTTGGTGAGCTCTTTATCCAAAGCCTTGAGCAAATCTTCTCCATAAGTCTCGGCGTAAGCTTGCCTAATAGCCTTGCGCTGGGCCGCGTTTCTGTGCCCCAAGATTGATATGATCAAATCTTCATTGGTCCCCCATCCTACAATAAAAATTAAATTATGAAAATAATAACATGAAAATGAAAAATTCTGTCTGCAGGGCAAAATCATTAGTGAAGAAATTAGACTCTAACATGGAAACAAAAGGTACTTCGAAAATAGATCTTACAATACATAATGTATCATCACAATTTTTGGCCTAAAACATATTCAGATCATCATTTACCATCAATCCCAGATCATCACATTTGAATCAATGTCTGGTCGAACCAACAATCAGAAAACACATATTCAGATCATCCTTCACCATCAATCTCAGATCATCACAACAATCAGAAAAAAAAAAAGGCGATCCATCATCCATATCAAGATCTATACACATATAAATATATAATATGAACAAAAACTGGCGAATTTCAGATTTCAGCAACTGTTGGTAGAACATAAAAAATAGAAAGGAAAAGATTGATCGAACCAGAGAAGGCTTTGTGGAGCTGCTCGCAGTCTTCGGCCACAGAGGGAAGGTGTGACGGTACGCAGAGAGTCGACATGTTATGTTTGGTTTGGTGTCAAGTGTGAGTGAGTGATGAGATGAGTGATCGATAATGATATGTTTTGGCCAAAGACCCGAAAACGCGTGTATATTCAATCAGTATGTACGTGTCTATGCGGGATCAGAGCCGCGGCTCACGGATCTGTCTTTCAGCTTTGCAGTATATTCGCAAATTTAAATTTCATATAAATAAAAAAAAAATGTATGAGAAACATAAATATTTGTATTTACTTAAAATAGTATTATTTTTTTGAGAAAAAAATTAATTTACTGCTAAATAAGGAATTTTTTAAAACTTTCTTTCTATTTATTTTTTCTATTGTTCTTTTGGTATTTTTTTTATCATCCGTGGCGAGACTTTGATTTTTATTTTTGGTACTGTAATATCAATAATTAATTTAAATCTATTGATTGACTTTTTTAACAAAATTAAAATAATCAATTATTTTATTTTTACATAATCTATTTTTATTTTTATATTTTAGTGATATAATATTAATAATATTTGAGATCAAACTTGCCAAATATTTACAAACAACTACTCAATTTCTACGTATTCTAGAATTTTATTTGATTTGGAAAAATACAAATTAGCGGATAAGATTATATATTAATCACTTATTTGTATGTTAGAAAAATATATGAAATTTAAAATATTTCATGAAACGCCTTGATGAATAATTCACTAACTATGATTTTTTTTTTTTCATATTTAGTTTTCATATTGGTGTTTGATTTTTATTGTCATCTCATTTTTCTTATTAAGTATTAATGTCTTTTTGGTTTTAAAAACTTAACAATAGTTTTATATATTATTCATTTATTTTTATATATTAGATTAACATTCATTTTACGATCTTTGGTTTGACATTCATATTGTATGTATAAATAAAAAATAATGACTTCTAGTATATTAATAAATGTATTACTTAATATTGCATATATGAAATGAAATTAAATTTATCATTTAATATAGATTAAAAAATTAAGAATTAGTCTCAAGTTTTCGTACAATAAAATATAAATGTATATATAATAATGATGACTATTTGTGATAATCAATCAGCAATTGGAATAACACAAAGTAGTTTATACAAGAGTAAGTATAGACATGGACGTGAGAGACTTAATGTCATAAGAAAATTATCTCGTGTGGGGGCTGTATCAGCTGACTATATGAAATAAACGATTAACCTAACGGAACCGTTTACAAAAAGTTTGAAACGAGATAAATTGTACAAACTGCTTAGGGGAAAGAGCTTAACAAAAATCCACAATACACGAACAGTCTTAGCGGTAACCCAACCATGAGAATGAATATCCTAAAACCATGGTTCAATGGAAAAACTAAGTTTTGACAGTTCAGTGAAACACTTGAAAAATTTCTGTTCATTTCGAGAACGGACAAGTGTTAAAATATGCCTAATTAGTGAGATTAAGTCGAGGACTTTTAATGATTCTTATACCTAAGGGTGGAGTAAGACATGATACTCTCTATAGGAGAATCACCTTTATAAGTGATAAGTAAATAGGCCGCTTAAATCGAACACTTACTAAACCGAGATATGGTCTAGGACCGTAATGGACATAACGTGAGAACATTAAATTATTAGAACTGTTGTTATGTGAGTATTATTGTCTTGGTGCACACAAACAATCGGTAAGTTCAAAGCATCAAGCTACTAACTGGCTAGTGTATCCGATAGTATGTCACTAAGAAAGATTCAAAGCCAAAAGCTATCTATCCTGATGCAATGACGGGTCATCGGGACTCTCGCGCATTGCATACATGCATTAATTTCATTCATATGGAGGATTGTAAGAAAAATTAGTTTTGCACCGATTTTACGGTTCTATTTTTGGCAAGTGGAAGACTTATTAAATTCTCAAAACAGTTTTAATGTGAATGAGAAATTAATTCTAAGTTGCATATGTGGGAAATGTAAAGTTGAAGTTGTTGACCACCGACTTGGTAACTCGTAGATTAGTTCAAAGTACATCAGCTAGCGATAAGTACAATCGTAATGACGTAATGACAACAAGGTTAGGAAAGAGATATCGACGTCAGCTGGCACCGGAGGTAGACAAGTAAACACACGACGACAGGACACACACCTTCTCACCGACATACAAGCTACCCAAAGCCCCCTTTCCAAGCCATTTTCGACTTCAGACTAAAACCAACTTCCCAAAAACCCTGGCATCATCTGCCGACGCCAGGGTCCACTTCGGCAGAGGCCGGATTCGCCGGTATCAAAGGAGGTGATCAGGCACCTACGTGACCTTCTAAAGTTTCGTGCCCAACGTCATGATAATCGTAGGCCCGACCGTCCTGACCGCCCAAATAAAGCTACTTTTTGTCTAAATCTCAAATTATTGGGAATCTCGAATAGTGTGTAACAGAAAAGTTACTATATATAGCCCGAAATTCCCTCAGTAAAAAAAAAAGGAGAACTTTTTTCCATCCTGATTACAGACACACCGACCATATATCAATTAATAAAATTCCTGAATTACCACTACTTATCGCCTTGGATTATATAATCTTTATGTTGGTGATGTTGTTAAGAAATCATACGACAACAGTTTGGCGCTAGAAGGAGGGCCTCATAATTATTTGAGGTTAATCTTCGACGTTTGCACGACACCCATACCTCTGCCACTGTTATTCCCCTGTTCTGTGATTCCATTAATATCCGGCCATGTCCCGGTCAGGACAAGATGATCCCACAACCAGAGGAAGTGCGATTAATCCTAATCCACACGCCACGAGACGTGCCAACAACGCTCCTGTAAACCCTATTCCAGGCCGAGTTATCAATATTCCATCCAATAATGCTCCGGTGAATCAACCCCCAGGTCGCATAGTCAATCTTCCGCCAACTCCGGATTTGGCAACTCTTCTTCTTCAGAACCCTGAAATCGCACAAGGAATTACCGCTCTGTTAGCACAAGTTATCCCCGGTACCTCTCGGGCACCTCTAGGACCGTGCGCGAATCCAGTGGACCCCGTCCGGCAAGGCGTACCACAACCACCTCCGAGAAATGATGATAATCATGCTGCTTCGCACGCTACTTCCCGACCTCGGGATAATAATCGCCAGGGGCCACAGGTGGGACTCGCACCGCCACCAGGTGGTAACGATATGCAAGAAGCGACGACAGAAAGCCATCCGGGACCTGCTCGGAAAGTGGCTGTCCCTGTGCAACCGATACCCCATCTCCTTGATAATATTCCCGACGTGCACCAACAGATTGAGATAAATCGTATTGACCGACATGAGAACTCGGAAACCGAGATGCTGAGGAGACGAGTTGCCGAACTCGAGCTTGAAGCCCGGCGTGGTGCCCACGCGCGGTCCCCACCAAACTTTTATCCCCCGTAACCGGGTCATGTATACTTGGAAGTTGAGTCACCTCTAGCTCCCGAGTTGACCATGGGCTCCATACCCGGGAAAGTGAAAGTTCCTCAAATCGGACTATACGACGGGACCTCGGATCCCCATGCTCATCTCGGACACTACACTTCTTGGATGGATCTCCATGGTGCTACCGACGCCCTACATTACAGAATGTTTTCCTTGACCCTTGGACCTCGAGCACAGAAATGGTATCACTCCTTACCTCCCCATTCCATTTGGAAATGGCAACAACTCCGATCAGCCTTTCGTTCGCATTTCATCGGGGCCCAGGTATGTCTTATTCCCAAGGATTCAATTGCAAATATTACTCAACGGGATGACGAGAGTGTAAAGGAGTATGTCGCTCGGTTTAACAAACGAGTACAGAATATGGAACCTTGTCATCCGGAAACACTCTTAGTTCTAGCCATTGCTGGCCTCAAACCAAATTCCATGTTCCGATGGACCCTTTGTCAAAACAAACTGAGCACGTTCCAAGAGTTCCTTGCCCGAGCACAGCAACATATCATCGCCGAGGAGTCGATGTCGGTTCCCGACTTCAATATTTCCTCGAAGGAGCCTTCTAAACCCGAATCTGGAAGCTAAAATAAGAACAAGAAATCTTTTGGCGGAAAACCGGGTAGGCCTCCATTTGGAGGTCCCTCAAAGGAAGATTATAACTCTCCAGAGGTGAAATCAGCTTTGAAAAAGTATAGGGACGATTTGAAGTCCGGCTACCAAACTATTTTCTCGGCCGGGACTGCCACTATCTATGCAGAACTCAAAGGAAAGGGAATTTTACCCGATCCCAGGCCGGTTAGCGTACCATTGGAGCGATTGGATAAGTCAAAGTATTGCGACTATCATAAGTCGCCGGGGCATAACACCGACGAATGTTTCAGTCTATTGGCGGCATTGCTACGATTGATCGGTCATCATCAGCTCCGAAGATTTTCAAAGAATCCTGATATTCAAAGGCAGGGACGAAACTTGGAATGTTTAGACGAAAACGACGAGAACGACCGAGCTCCGAATCCCAAGAGAATCCGACAAGGGGAGAAATAAGTCTTCACCTTTAATTTAGATAACTCCGAATGTCACCAAGAAAGAAATCCGAAGGAGGTTAAACGAAGTCGGTCCCCAGAATCGGATCGAAACATTGTGCTACGGGTGAACACAAGTCATAACCGACAAACTTCTTCCCGACTTCAAATTCAAGCTTTCGCTCGACAGGCCTATAACGCGGGAAAACGAGCTTTAATTACTGATCTTCGGGAGACCATAAATTCCAAAATTGTCCGATTACCTTTAGTGTGGAAGACGCCAGTTTGTTCGCACATCCCCATTCTGATGCGCTCATTATCACGGCTCCTATCTGTGGAATATCCGTTCACCGCATTATGGTGGATACCGGGGCCTATTCCAGTATCTTGATGCTCCGGGCGTTAGAGAAAATGGGTCTTGACCCATCCGAAATTAAGTCGTGTAACGACAAAATTCAGGGATTCAACGGAAGCATTTCTTGCCCAATCGGAGAAATAACTTTACCTATCTGTTTTGGAATCCCCGACAACGCGTCAAAAGTTATTATCGAAACTTTCAAAGTTATGGATATCCAGAACGAGTATAACGCCATCATCGGGAGGACTGCGCTCTACAAGCTGAGAGCTGCGATCTCCATCTACCATTATGCTTTGAAATTCCCGACATCAAGCGGAGAAGGAACGCATTATGGAGAGTAGAAAGAAGCAC